GTAATAAGGAAATTTTCCATTTATCGTAGAATGACTGATCAGGAGCGCGCGGGTGTTGTAATTATATCCCAAAAATATGAATTGCTACCGGCTCCAATAGCGCCTGGATCTTATCGCGGTTTGAAGCGATGTCCAGAATGTGGACAATTGAATGGTGTACGAAGCTCTGTCTGCCGTAATGAAGACTGCCAATTGAGGAGGGATGCACTGCGTTTACGAGTGCCCTTAGATCCCATTCGCTTAGAGTGCTTAGATGATGGCAAATTCCTATACTCTTTACGATGTAGGGAAAAAAATGCCCAACCACGTAGTTTTGTCCTTTTGAATTACTCCAGTGGACGGGAATCAGGTTCGTTAGAGTGCTACTCTTGTGCCTCTAAAAGCACTAACAGTTCGGAGCTATGCAAACATATCTTAGCTTGCAATTCCCCAAATATAACAAAAGCAGAAGTTTTTCCCATCTCCCGCGATGTGCTTTGGAATTTGAACAGTTTAGATGATGAGCACAAAGAACGCCTCTGGAATATTTGTCAGCAAGAGGAAAACAACGTGCCTGCTGTGCAGCGCATTTCTAATTCATTATTTGTAGTCAAATGTGATGAGTCGAAAGTTTTTCCAGCTGGCAGACTGCACGTTACAGCTGTATGTAATGGTGTATCTACGCGGAAGGGTGTATATTCCTGCTCCTGCAAGAAACTAAAGATTATAGTCGAGCCAGACAACTCAGTCGTAATGCAAGAAGAAGTTTGTGACCACATTTTGCTAGTTTTAGCAGCTGTCTTAAGCAACCGAAAAGGTAAAACGGCGTATGGAAACTTTACAAGTGCATTAAAATCCTTCTGGATGCCAACAAGTATCGAAACACCAATCGTAGACTCCACGCAGGAGGATGCACTTTTCGGTTTAAGCATAGACATTGGTGGGAACTTTAACATGGAAAGCAGCGATGGCCGACAAACAGACGATATATTTATTTATAATAATGATTTTATGTCTGATGAGGTAAGTTATTGTATTAGGACAACATATCGGCAAAATATTAGGGCGATTCATCTAAACTCGTAAATGCCTTGTAACCGTGGATACCTCGTAAACCTACTTAATTTTGTATGGAAAATCGTCGGTTTCTTTACGAGGCTTACGCAGCTAGGAGGCATTTACACATTTCCATGAATACCCATATTTTTAAAAACAAGAATTTCGCATACGTTCTTCAAAAGTGAACTAACACAATTTTACTGTTGGTCAGAAAACGTAAAAAACCATATTTGATACCAAGTTTTTAAAGGACGTGTGTGACATATTACTTTATGCCTCTGGCCTCATTTGAATACCACCATTATACAATTCTTAGATCCCTTAGAAATCAACGATAATTTCATTAATTACAAATGCACAGAATATTCCAGATTTTGAGGATATAATCCTAAATTATCCACCCCGTTTAGAGGATAATAACGCGGATAATGCCACATTAACAAATTCAACAACAAACACCAATGACAACTTACATCCTGGAGATCCTAATTTAGGTTTAAGTTTCGCCGTTACGGCAGAAGACGCAGAAGACACACGGTTGCATAATGGTCCCTACTTCAACGATGTGAAAACGGAGCCATCCAATCTGACAAATAGCTTAACTACGGCGCACCTAGAATTAAGTGATTGTAAAATTGAGCTAATGGATCAGTTTGAACTCACTGATCAAATAGACCTATCAACCACTGACGATATCACACTACAGCAAGAGCAAACATGGCTTGGCAACGGTATAAGCATTCTTGAAGCACCAGTATTAAATAGTACAGCACCATCTACTGCCTGCACTGAAGTATCGCCTGTCTTAAAAGCATCGAACACACACCACACTTCTTATTACAATAATAATTCGTTGCTAAAATCCAACCAAGTATTGGAAGCACCACCGATCGAATTACCGACTATTGCTATGGTTAAAAAGTGCCCTGTAAAAGCGTCGGAGCTGGTCAATGAAGTTAATACACGTAAATTTCCTCCACTTCCAGCAAAGAGATCATTAATTGTTAATGGAACAAATCAGTCGGAACAGCAGCAATCGAATGATGGAAGTCAAGTTTCGGACGTTGGCGAACCGTCGCTTGCTTTTTCAGCTTGGTTAGATTATGTCATTGAAATACTCAACGAAAGTATCAGCATTGTGGAAGAGAGAAGTGTAGAACATACCTTTCATGTGCATGAGGTTTGATTTTCTTGTTTGTTTATTTTAATTCAAAACACAACTATATACATACTTGCTTTTTTAGGAAATATTTGCCCATTTCAGCAAACGTTTCAGCGCCGGCATCAAGCTCCGCGTACCGAACAGTACTACGGTTGTGAAGGCAGGAAAATATAAGGGACTCATAAAATATGTTTGGTACTTTACAAATGCATCAACAGTACGACGAATTTTTACATCAAAAAATGTAAGCTTACGTCATTAAGCCGTTTACATTATTTATCTTTAATATTTTTGGTACCATTCCGCCTTTCCTCCCAGATCTCACTGGAAACCGAACGTATTTTTGAGTACAATGCTGACGGTGTATTTGTGCCTTTTGAGGCACAACGTATTTTACCCGGTACGAACGTTAAACACAAACGTATTTATCCAAAGCTTTCACTCTATAAGACAAAAATATGGTTCGATAGCGGTAAAAGCGTAAGTTTTCAAATATTGTTTTTGAAAAAAAAAACTTGAAATTTAATTTAAATCGGTATTAATTTGCTTTTGTAGGAATATAAAAACAGTTTCAAACTAGAATGGCTGCCCAGTGCCTTTCCAAGAAGTCACCATGGCATATTGAAACTCGAATTTTCAGTATGTGTGCTAGATCCGCAGGAAATGCAAAGAGCGATCGAAGGAAAATGAATATCAATTACGAATATAACACTTATTTGCCACAGCAAGATAAAATCTGTGTTCGTATGGAACAGTAACTTATGTCGGAAGGCCGGCTTTCGTACAATGAACCATTAGCAGCATACGATTGCGAATGACTCTCTAGCGCCAAGCCATGGAAGAACTCTTGGCAAATAAATGTGAAATAAATAGTTCCGATACTAGCAAGTTAATATACTTATTAAGCCTCATTAAAGAATAAATGGAATACTAATGCCAGCCCGAAATATTGATATGATACATATTTGTATTAAAGACATGTCATATCTTGTCATTACTAAAGCTAAATATTTAATTTTTGTACCATAACCATTGTTTACATACATATGTATATGTTTGAATATGCTGATAAAAAAATAACATAAAAATAATTTTGATTGCAGCCCCTACCTTTTTTTTTTGTCATAATATTTTAGTATCACCTGTATATTAGAAAAATAAATAAACATACAAGTTTTTATTAAGAAACTTATACATATTAAATTCGAAATGTCTATCTGTTCGTCTCGGACATTTATATATATGTATTGGGATTGTTCAGTATAAAAAAATATACTGTGAAATAAAAAAATATTTACCGTCGCTCAAAGCCCTCAAAGTTTCCCACGTATTTTAAATGGGGAATAAACAAATTTTCGTAGAAACGGTATATAACCATTGAAAGTAAATATTTCTCTTCAGCAAAGTCTGATTCTCCTCAGGAGATTTCAAAGGATAATAGCAAATTGTTTATTTTAAAATTTCTGGAAAGTTGCATATAAATTTTCTACTTTTCTCGCTTTGGTTTTTGGGAATTCTTTTAACGCTTTTTACATACGAAGTATATTCGACAATTTTTTTGCATTAAAAAAAGAGTTAAATTTAAAAAAAAACTTATCAAAACCCAACGCGAATTTTCAGCAACTTAAATTGTACTAGAATTTAATGGGCTATATAACCGCAAACTCAAAAATCTTGTTAAAAAGTTGAAAATTTAGATGCAACTTTGCAGAATGTTTTATAATTTTTGCACAAAGTTTGCAATGTGGATTTATATGGTGTTTGTTATATAAGAAGCTAGGCTTTAATGAAAAAATTATGAACATTAAATAAACAAAAGAAAAATAACCAAAATTGACAAAAATGTTGCGGGCAAAAGGATACATACCAATGCTGAAATTCGTTATAAAGCCCCCTTCGAACTCATCGAACTTTAAAAACTCGCTTGCTTTGGCTGAATATCCAAAAGAAGAAATGCTCCAAATATTTTTTTTTTAGTTTATTTTTATTCACTTCATTCCATTTTCTGTTTTCATTAATATACCTATGTTTATGTATATTCTATATTTATAATACATATATATTTTTTAATTCTATTCTTATTTTGCTTATCATCTACTATTTTTTTATTCTTATCTCTGTTTCCCTTTAATTTAATTATAATTGTTTTTTTTTTTTTTTTTATATTCATGATGTCTGCCATGTATGCACTGTTTATAAACTATTTCACATCAATACATAAATGTTTACGTACATACATACACACGCATGCGTGCATGCATGCTGGTTGAAGCAGAAAAGTTACACCAGCTTTAAAAGCTTTCGTCTCTGTTCGCCAATTGGTACGGAATTCCGAATAATATTTATGTATATACAAATACTTACATGCGTATGCACGCATATAAAATTATGTTAGTACGGAAATTTTTATATTTAATAATAGGATTTAAAGTGAAAGTGAAAGTGAAAGAAAAATCAGTATGAAATGTTAAAAGTGGAAAATAAAAGTACATACATATGTATGTATTTTATTAACATTTTGTTAATTTCGAATTGTTGCATTTTACGATCGCTTAGACTACACATAAATATGCACAATTTATGTATGTATGTATTTACATCGACATGTAGACCACGCTTTCTCATTTTAAAATTATGCACCTACCATTTCTAATAACATATTTTTTGTTTATCTTTTATTATGCGTCCAAATTATTTTGTATGATGTAAAAATTATGTTTTTTAGTATAATAACCATTTAGTAAGTATTTACACTTACATATGTACATACATAATATGGTATGTAATTTGTATTACTCCGGTTATTCCTTATTTCAATTGCTCAGTGATGGCCTCAAAATAAAAATAAATTCGAAATCACAAGTAGTTAGATATCGTCAAGCCCGAAAGAACAAATGGTAAGACGAAGAATGAATGTTAGGCTGCTGCAGAAAAAATATGCCACTTACACAAACACGCTTTGATCGGACGCTAGCTATGTGGGATTAATAAAGATAGCTGAAGAGGGTAGCGGGACGACTAAACAGGTGAGTGCGTGCCGATAGGAAACAAACCGAAAATTTTATAAAAAAGGTAGGTGACTTACAGGAATGACCACGGCGAAGCCCTGTAATTAAAAGCAGTGAATAAAATGAGTCCGATATCCCACCAAACCAACCCCCTTTACACCTGCCCACTTAAACCTACTCAGCTAACACCCCTCTCCTCTGGTCTAACACCGCCGAAAGAGCGCATTTCCTGGACCCACAAAGATTGGTGGACAACCAATTTAGGCGGGACTTAGTACAACAACATGAACCCGACTGCGAAAGTCGAGGGAATCGATGTCTCAACGTCGCGACAACACTCTCGCTGATTATGCGGTGTATGAGCCTAACGGGATCAGCTGTCGCCCCAAGCTTACTAAGGGATCCGACTATTGCACCCGGTAGTACGTTGTTAAAGGCCCCGGCCTCTCTAGATTTTTAACCAAAATTTATGGGAGGCAGTACCATTGTACTCAGACCCCAAATGGAGGCTTCTCCTGGGACAGGGACTTAATGACCATATTTATTAACGCAATGACCTGCGCATTATTTAATGCAAAATTTGTCAGTAAAATTACTTGAAGCGGCATTATGACAGTCTCCTTTACTTCTTTTAAAATTTTCGCATATTTTTTGGTTTTCAAATTGGTATCTAAAGGCATCTTCACAGAATCCGTGCGTTGGTCACCTAGCTTTGTTATACTTTTCTTGAAAAACAAGTCAAGAAAACAGTTTCAGATGGCGTCTTGAATTATACGAAGCAGGGGTCAAATGGTCACATACGATATCGTAGTAC